ATTTGTTCCTTTTTCCTCGAAGTCATATTTTGCAGGACTCGCAGAACTTTGATTCAGGTGTCACCTGAATGCTCTACATAAGTTCCCAATTTGCTGTTATTTTGGTGTTTCTATAATAAAAGCACATTGCCACCAGTTCACCTGTAGTAGGAGTCAAACTAGAAGAAGAAGATGATGATGATATGCTTGAAACAATAATATTAGATGTTCCTAGCGTTGTCGTGGGATTCACAGTTGTTTCTGGGGTTTCTATCGGCGTAGTGATCATGAAGCAAGGCTTAAGGATTACTCTCTTCCAACAAAATGACAACATCTATGGCTGGATGGAGATATGTTCAGCTGAAAGCTGAAGTCCAAATGACGAAGAATCAATTGAACTGTGGCTAAGTGCTAAGACTGTCTATGTAGACTTCATGTATTTGTGTTCTAGTGTTTTGATTTATGCATGACCATTTGGTGCTGTCCAGAAATAAGGTTACTGTTTAAATATAACATCTGAGACATGGCATCGGGATTGCTCTGTTCCAGTTGATCGACAGGACTTGTGATTGGATCTATGTGCAGGTGGCAGTAAAGCTCAAGGAACCGAAGTGCAAATGGAGAAGAATGACTTGAAGAATCACTAAGCATCTCAAGCTCATGTCATCCTCTTCATGTTATGCTGTATCTATGTTCCATGTAATTGTTGTAGTCTCTTTAGAGTCTTAATCTATTGGCAACTTGCTGCTGGTTTTTAGTGCCGTGAAACTTAATTTACTGCATCACTTATTGCTTCTTTTCCAGAAACAAACCAATGGTCCACAGGAGGGCAAATGAGTTGTCATGACATATGCAACATATTACTATGAATTGAGAATTGCTCCGGTGGAAGCATCGTAACTACATCCTTCATATACATGAAATTGATTTCAGTGAGTGTTTCAGGGGATTCCAGCTGAGAACAAAGTGTGATTATGTTCAATATATCTCAATGAGCAGATATCAGATTGGCCATGAAGACTTGCTCATGCTTTCATAATGGATTTAACCATTCAAAGTATTTTCTATGGCCTTGGAAGTTGCTGTTCTGTTGTCAGATCTCTTCAATCTCTCCAACTCTTTTAACTATTCAAATCATGCCTTAGTTTGATGAACCAAATGGATTAATCAAAAGAATGATTCTGGATTAATCAAAAGAATTAATCAAACCAAGCTTTCTCTTCATATGCTACTTCAATCTCTCTGTGACCAAGCTTTCTCAGTGGAGAAATTCCAATAATTGTGGGAGATTTGTATGCTACTTCTATCATTAGAACGGTACCGCTGAGCATGGGGAACCTCGCTAACTTGGTTCATTTAGATAATATATCAAGTAACTTTATTACCGGACAATTACCACCACCTGAGATCGGGAACCTCATCAATTTAGAATACTTGGATTTATCATCCAACGATATCGTCGGAAGTATTCCACATACTTTGGATTCTCTCAACCATCTCAATATATTAATCTTCAAAATGATATTTCTTGACACATACTAGAAACCATTACATTTCAAAATCTTAAGTTATTTATCTTTATTAGACAACTTAGACGAATACAAGAGACAATTGGTAGACTCTATCACTCGAAAATTTTGAACATATCATACAATAACTTATAGATACCAATGATATTAGGTAATTTGACCATGCGACTCTTTCTTTAAATTATTCTTAATTTTTTAGGAATTCTTTTTTACCCGAAACATAGTTATTTTTTTCAAAATAAATTTGTGTCCAACCAAGGAAACTTGTCCAAAACATTTGATGAGAGTATAAACTTCGTATGTCTAACAACATTCAGTGTTACTATTGCACAAGGAAGGGCCAAATCAAAGCAGCCTGTTGAGCTATAAAAAAAAAAGCAACAATCAAAATGTTTATGCACAAACAAAGAGATTGAGACGGAGGTACCTATGGCCTCCACATGCCACCACAAGCCACAGGATGGGCGGTCTTTGGACTCTGTCTGTGTATTCGTTTCATATGACAACAACGGTGTTAGTTCTCCACTTATAACTCACCCAAAAAGGAGATGTGCTTAAGGGAAAAACTTATGGTGTAAAGTCATCCAAATGGGATTAGTTAAAATAAAGATGTACGATATGATTATAACGTGATTATAAGAACCCTGATAAAGGTATGATACATTCGTAAATTAAAAAGAAATTTAATTCCATTATCTGCTTTGGATGTCCTAAGCTATGACAAATCAAACTAAAGTTGTTCACTGACAGAACTTTTGTTCATCGATCTTTGTGGTCGGTCTGTCACTTAGTCTCGTTGCAACAATTGTAAAGAAGATGAAGTTGATTGGTCAACTTTGGTTATTGTTCAAACTCACATCTTTATCATGAGTTGATTATTATTTAACAGTTAAGTTCTTCATATCTAAATCTCCAACATAACACTTGTGGAACAACCAAATCTCTCATATTAATCAATCAACTCTGGATGGCATCAGATTTATGTCTCATTCACATAGGTTTACGTTCGAGGAACATGATAAAAATGCAAGACTTCGACTTACGTCTTAGCCACATGATAAGGCTTCGATGAGTATGAATGACTTTCCTCCAACCTCACACTACATGGAAGATAAAAGATGGAAATCAAGACGTCGTGATCTATCATTGGAAGATTAGCCTCTTCCATCTAATCCATCCATATCAAATCATTCATCACATCATCAGAGATCCATACATTCCAAACCGATAGTCTCCTTGACTTGCAGATCGGAAACATAAACTTTATATATATATATATATATATATAAATGAACGCTCAGTGGAACCATCATATCATAATCAAATTTCCACTTCTTAGTCACACTAAAGTCAAAGTGTGATTGACCTTGACTGCGTCCTAGCCACGGGATCAAATCTACAGGGAATGTGCGCAGATATCATGGGGATTTCCGGTGGTGATGTGCCTATACATACCCACAGAGACATCCTCTCCAACCTCACACCTTCACATTTCTTCCCTCTTGAGCGTTCGATCAATGGCTGCAGCTGGTAGCCGCAGTTTCCAGGACGGATGTATTGCCTCGAAGCGTCTCATGATGCTCGTGGCCCTACTTCTCGTCTCCTGCAGTCTCGGCCATGGCTTCGGCGATGAGGTTCATGTCGAGGTGGAGGGAATCAGCAGCAGTTGCATGGAGAGCGAGAGGAGAGCTCTCCTCGCCATCAAATCCGATATGTACGACCCCGACAACTGGTTCTCTACTTGGACCGGCAAAGACTGCTGTGGGTGGAGAGGTGTGGCCTGCGACCACACCACCGGCCATGTCACCAAGCTCGACCTCCACTACTCCTACACATACTATGTGTGGGATATCTCAGACATTAGGGAAACAATGGGTGGGAGCAAGGTAAATCCTTCTTTGCAAGAACTGAAGCATTTGAAGTATTTGGATTTGAGCATGAATAACTTCTCCTACGCCCCTGTGCCGAAAATGATCGCTTCACTGGTCCACTTGGAATATCTCAACCTATCTTATGCCATGTTCGATGGACTGATTCCTCCTCAGCTGGGGAACCTCTCAAACCTACACTATCTCGACCTTCAGGGATGGTATGGTTATCATCTGCACGTTGACAATCTCGATTGGCTCTCCCGTATTCCTTCTCTAAAATATCTTGACATGAGTTTGGTCGACCTCTCCAGAGCAACCAATTGGTTCCACATAGTAAATTCAATCTCCACACTTGAAGTGCTGCATTTGAGCAGTACAGGACTGCCATATGCTCCATCTCCTTTACCCCCTTTCAATCTAACAGCCATTGCTACGTTGGATCTATCTGGGAATTCCAACATCACGTCTGCCATGCTAAGATGGCTTTCTAACGCCACCAGCCTCGAGAACCTCCTTCTTTCTGGCTGTGGGAGTCTCACTATCGAGTCGCTACAAGTTGCTCTAGGAGCGCTCCTTAATCTGAAGGAATTGGATTTATCAGACAACTCCCTTGAAGGAGAAATTCTTGAAATTCTGAACAATGTCAGTAGCAGGGGCCTGAAGCACTTGGATTTGAGCTTCAATCAATTATCTGGAGATATTCCTCCAGGGAGCCTTAGAGACCTGGAGTACCTGGACTTATCAACGAATTTAAATGTCGACGTACATATCTTAGCTTCTCTGGGGAATCTCACAAACTTGCGACATTTAGGCTTGGGGAGCAATTCAATCAGTGGAGAAATTCCACCAACCGTAGGAAAATTTGTCCGATTGGAGTACCTAGATTTGTCCAATAATGGCATCATTGGAAAAATACCACAGGTCATCGGCAACCTCAGTAACCTATTGGAATTACATTTATCAGGCAACAAAATTGTGGGATGGATACCACCGAGCATCGGCAACCTCACCAACTTGGTACACTTAGATTTATCAAGCAATAATATTGTCGGTTGGATACCACCGAGAATGGGAAACCTCACCAACTTGGTATACTTATATTTATCATACAACAATATTGTCGGTTGGATACCACCAAGCATGGGAAACCTCACCAACTTGGTACACTTGGATTTATCAACGAATAATATTATCGGATACATTCCAGAGACTTTGGGTACTCTCATCCATATGGAGGTATTATATTTGTTTAACAATTGTATTTCTGGACAAATACCAGAAATCATTGGGGATCTTCAAAATCTATGTGTGTTATGTTTAAGCAATAACCTTATTTATGGACAGATACCAAAGACGATTGGTAAACTCCACTACTTGCAAGACTTGGACATATCATATAACAACTTATCTGGTCAGATACCAAAGACGATCGGTAATCTCCATTACTTGCAAATCTTGGACATGTCATATAACAACTTATCAGGTCAAATACCAACGACATTGGGTGATTTATGCAATTTGACCATGTTAGATTTGTCTCACAATAACATTGGTGGAGAGCTTATAAATCCATTTTACGGTTTGTCTACTTGTTCACAAGGTGCATCTTTATCATCCTTAGCCCTGAAGGGTAACAATTTGAGTGGGATTATTCCTTCAAATATGGGCCAATTATCTCAGCTACATGAGGTAGACCTCTCCTCAAACTCGCTGGCAGGCAACATCACCGAAGCACACTTTTTAAATCTTACAAGCTTATCAGAATTGATAATCGCTTCCAATTCCTTGATTGTCATGCTACCGAATGATTGGCGGCCCCCTTTTAGTGCCTCCATTATCGATATGAGCTTTTGTCATCTGGGAGGAAAATTTCCTGATTGGATTCAGACTCAACAACAATTGCAAAGTCTTTATCTATATGGAGTTGGGGTCTCAGGTAGCCTTCCTGTTTGGTTTTTAGATTTCTCAAAAGGTTTGAACAATCTTAACTTCAGCTCCAACCATTTGACTGGTCAATTACCTTCTGCTCCCCTATTCACGTTAGATCTCTCCAACAACTCATTTGTCGGACCTATTCCATTGAGCTTCGAAGAAGCTACAAGCCTCCGTTTATTATCTTTATCTCATAATCATATCAACGGTGGTTTCCCTCCCTTCTTTTGTAATATGTACTCACTTGGAATTCTCGACCTATCTAACAATTACTTAATTGGAAAAGTCCCGGATTGTCATAGCTCATTTCCAACCTCTCTACAATCTTTTCATTTAAATAATAACAATCTATCCGGAACAATTCCTTCATTTTTGAAATACTGTGACCAATTAATTACCCTTGATTTAGGCGAAAATAAATTATTTGATAAAATTCCAAAATGGATAGGAAGAAACCTCTCGTCATTGAAGGTTCTTCGTCTGAGGTCAAACTTATTATATGGTGTTATCCCTGAGAACATAGTGAATCTCACTTCTCTTCGGGTTTTGGATCTTTCTTCCAACAATTTATTTGGTAGCTTACCATCATCTCTAGGAAATTTCACTGCCATGATTGAGGTACAAAATAAAACATGGTCACGGCTTCAAGAAAACTATTCTTATATCGAGAGCAGATTATTCGCATCAAATGGATCAATGGTTGAAGAATACTATTATTATAGCGAGAGCATCTTGCTAACTACAAAAGGGGAAATTGCTGATTACACAACCATTCTCTGGCTGGTGACATGCATAGACTTGTCAAATAATCATCTCTCTGGTGAAATCCCGAAAGAACTGACAAAGCTTCTCGGATTGCGCTTCCTGAACTTGTCCAACAATCATTTGACGGGGAGGATTCCAGAAAAGATGGGTGACATGAAACTGTTAGAATCACTTGACTTATCGGTGAACAGTCTCACAGGGGAGATACCTTCGAGCTTTTCTGCTATGCATTTCCTGGAACGTTTGAATCTGTCTTACAACAACTTATCAGGAAAAATACCCACGAGTGGTCAATTGTCGACTTTTGACTCATGGACATATGTGGGTAACAAAGACCTTTGCGGTACGCCATTGCCAGCTTGCCCTGTTTATCAAACTCCACCCGATGCCAGAGTTAAAGATGATGAGAAGCTCGACAAATTATTGGAGTACACCAGTATTGTGGTTGGATTTGTGGTTGGCTTTTGGCTGTTTATTGGCACGCTCATCATGAAGCAGGCCATCAGATTCGCTTTCTTCCGATGGATCGACAAGGCCAACGACTGGATCTATGTCCAGTTTGCAGTAAATCTTGCGAAGCTCAAATCCAAATGGCAAACAACGACATGAGCTGTGGGTAAGTGCTCAAGTGTGTCATGTTGTCCTTCGTAGTTAGTCGCATCGAAATCTTGTGTTAGCATGTAATGATGTTAGCATCGAAATTATGCAATCATGATTAAGCTGAAATAAGCATCATAGATTCTCTGTATACATTACATGTATTAGTTCTAGTATCATAACATCTCCATCTATCATCATTTTGCTATCTGTCTGGCCTTCGCTTATCGATCGATACATATCTGACAACTAAAAGATTAATTGCAACAGTGTATGTCATACTCTGTTTGTTAACGAAATAGTTAAATATGTTTTTTTCTGCAAAAATAAAATCCATGTCCATCAATTTTTTTTTTCTAAAAGTGAATTATTATTAATAAATAAGTTTTATAAATTCATATCAATCCCACTCTAGACTGCTTATTCCTATCAGTCAGGTGCTAAAAGCTCGAGACCTTTTGATTATACAATTATCTTAAAGAGAGATATCTATGTTTCTTGAATGAGTTTTTTTCGTTAATCAATATTCTATGTTGTGTGTGTTTGTTTCAGTATTTATAACCTGAGAATATATGCATGTTTTTTGTTCATTTTTCTTGGAAATCATATTTTGCAGGACTCGCAGAACTTTGATTCAGGTGTGACCTGAATGCTCTGCATAAGCTCTCGATTTGCTGCTGTTTTGGAGTTTCTATAATAAAAGCAGATGATGCAGGAGTCAAACTAGAAGAAGATGATGATGGTGATATGCTTGAAACAATAATATTAGATGTTACTAGCGTTGTCGTGGGATTCATAGTTGTTTCTGGGGTTTCTATCGGCGTAGTGATCATGAAGCAAGGCTTAAGGATTACTCTCTTCCAACAAATTGACAACATCTATGGCTGGATGCAGATATGTGCAGCTGAAAGCTGAAGCCCAAAATAATGACGAAGAATCAATTGAACTGTGGCTAAGTGCTAAGATTGTATATGTATACTTTCATGTATTTATGTGTTCGAGTGTTTTGATTCACGTATGACCATTTGGTGTTGCCTCGCCTTGTTTATTGAACTTGGATATGATTAGTGTTTCTTTTCTTCATCAACTACAAATCTGGTGTCTCCACACTACATCTTTATCATGAGTTGATTTGTTCTTTGACGGTTAAACACTTTACATCTAAATCTTCAACAGTCATCAAACACACAAGTCTCACATATCTTAACCATGGAGTTGGACTCGAACATAATTAACAACCCTATATCTACGTGGAGTTGGACTCTCCCAAAATCTCCTGATTTGGTTTTCGATCTTTTCAAAAGAGTTTCAAAATCTTATCGTGAGCTCTGGCAATTTGATAAGCCAATGATCTTTATATCCCAAATATGGGACCTCTCCCATAACTCATTTGTCGGACCAATTCCCTTAAGTTTCGTAAAAGTTACGAGCCTCTCTCTATTGTCTTTTATCTCATAACCGTATCAATGATAGACTGCCTCCCTTCTTTTACAATGTTCAATCGCTTGAAGTCTTTTAACCTATCTAGCAATCATTCCCATCTTATCTATAATCTTTACATTTGAATAATAACAATATGTCTAGAACAATTTCTTTATTTTTGAAACATCGTGACCAATTAGTTATCCGCTCTAGGCAGCGAGCCCTCCACCTTCGCTTGATCCTATAAATGGAGCTTTGGGGAACAACAGCGAGGGAAGCGAAGGAGAGAAGAAGAGAGGTGAAGCGAGGAAGGAGCCCAAATCCAACCAAGTTCTTCTCCGGCGTGAAGTCCGGTCACCGATCTCCGTCGCCGGCCGGTCACCGTGCTCATTGCAGCACCTGCGGAGGAGGAAGAAGAGGAAGTTGACTGGTCAACACTGTTCAACTTTGATTGACAGGGGTAATTTTGTAATTTTGTTTTGTTGGCAAATTTTGGATTTTTTTTAAGGAAGTCGTGATGGTGTTGTTAAACCCTCCTACGATTTAATTTTTTATTTTGATTTTTCTTCTTCTTGTGTACGTAATAACTATGTTTATGTCATAATTTGAGTCATGTTAAATCGTTTATTTTTATTTTTCATCCTTTATCATCTGATTTTTTTCATCGACTCGATCTATATCTTATGGCTACGTAACCTACTAATCTTTTCTACATATTGTATCAAAGCATTCTTACCAAAGATTATCAGGTTGCTGGGCCTTAATAACGAGCATGAGATATAAGATCAAAAAATAGGATCGAAATTTTAAGTACTCTCTGGTAAATATAAATATTATTTTAATAAACTAAACTTGTGACAAAGGTAATCCAGAAGGAGGTTAGCTCTATAACATTGATAAATATAATATACCATCAAAATCGATGTCTGACACGTAAGAAGTGACGTGCAAAAGTCCCAACTACTTTTGTCGTTGTAGGAAAATATGGATCTATACTATATAATTAATGAATAAATTGAAACTCCATTTATAATAATTGATCAAATGTGTCTAGATTGATTAGTCAACAAAATCTCCGATGTCAATGAATCATTCTAACTCTTATATCTTTATCATTAGTTGAAATTTTCTTTCACGGTTAAACTCTTTATATCTAAATCCTCAACATTCATAAAGCACTTAAGTCTCACATGCTAATCAATCATCTTTCATGTCTTATTTCTTAACCATGGAATGCATTAAAATCTCCCAGAGATAGATATGTACCTTATTGATGTTGACTTGCGCCCGACCAAAATGCAAGACATTCTCAGCCATATCGTGTTCAGACCTCATACGCTCACAGGTAACTTCTTTCCAACCTCCCACCATATGGAAAAAAAACTTCTTAATGTGCACGTCGAAATGACCTTTCATGCTAATTCACCTATTCCAACCATTCATTGCGTTACGAGAAATATTTACACTTTTCTTTCAACACTGAAAATCTTCTTGATGTGCACGTCCGGAAACATCAACATATATATATATATTTTTTCTTTTATATGAAAATATTTTTAGATAATTTACTTAGAAAATCGATCATAATACACGGAGACATAAACGATCAAATGAGCAAAGGAGAGCGATCGATAGAACCAACTTATAAGTGAAGATATATGCGATAAGGGGAAAGAAGGGGAGGGAGATGACCGATAGACGAAGATATGACAAGTACGATGGAGA